AGTCCACAGTGTCTCATGGTTCATCTCTCCCTCCGATTCCCCCCCCTTTATTTTTCCCTTCCTTCTCCTAATGTCCTCCATGCTATTCCTTATGGTCCACAAATAAGTGAAACCATATGATGATTGTCTTTCTCTGCTTGACTTATTTTACTTAGCATAATCTCCTCCAGTCCCATCCATGTTGATGTAAAAGTTGGGTATTCATCCTTTCCGATGGCTGAGTAATATTCCATTGTATATATGGACCACATCTTCTTTATCCATTCGTCTGTTGAAGGGCATCTCGGCTCTTTCCACAGTTTGGCTATTGTGGACATTGCTGCTCTGAAGATTGGGGTGCGTATGGCCCTTCTTTTCACTACATCTGTGTCTTTGGGGTAAATACCCAGGAGTGCAATTGCTGGGTCATAGGGTAGCTCTATTTTCAAATTTTTGAGGAACCTCCACACTGTTTTCCAAAGTGGCTGTACCAACTTTCATTCCCACCAACAGTGTAAGAGGGTTCCCCTTTCTCCACAACCTCTCCAACATTTGTTGTTTCTATCCCTGTCCATTTTTGCCATTCTAACTGGTATAAGGTGGTATCTCAATGTGGTTTTCATTTGAATTTCCCTGATGGCTAATGATGATGAACATACACAAAGATAAACTCAAAATGGATGAAAGACCTCAATGTGAGACAGGAATCCATCAAAATCCTAGAGGAGAACATAGCCAGTAACCTCTTTGACATCGGCCACAGCAACTTCTTTCAAGATACATCTCCAAAAGCTAGTGAAACAAAAGCAAAAATGAACTTTTAGGACTTCATCAAGATAAAAAGCTTCTGCACAGCAAAGGAAACAGTCAACAAAACAAAGAGGCAACCCACAGAATGGGAGAAGGTATTTGCAAATGACACTACAGATAAAGGGCTGGTATCCAAGATCTATAAAGAACTTCTCAAACTCAACACCCAAAAAACAAATAATCAAGTCAAAAAATGGGCAGAAGACATGAAAAGACACTTCTCTGAAGAAGACATACAAATGGCTAACAGACCCAGCTTTCTTTTGAGGTCTGTTGGCATGAAAGATGGTTCTCCTTCCCTTCACTTTCAGTCTGGATGTATCTTTAGGTTCAAAATGAGTCTCTTGTAGACAGATATATACATTTTTAAAGAAGAATATATGCAAACATTAAAAATGAGCAAAAATTAAACAAGATTGTTTGTGGATATATACTTATTTATTTTTTAAGTATTTTTTTATTTATTTTTGTGAGAGAAAGAGTGCATGTGTACCTGAGCAGGAGGAGAGGCAGAGGGAGAAACAGACCCCTCGTTGAGAAGGGAACCCTACTCAGAACTCGATCCCAGCACCCTGGGATCATGACCTGAGCCGAAGGCAGACGCTTAGCCAACTGAACCACCCAGGTGCCCGGATATATACTTCTTTAATAAAATTATTTTTCAAAAAAAGCAAAAGAAGTATAAAGATAAATCCAGAAGAGTGATTGTTTCTGGGTGTAAAACAAGGTAAAGGGATAGGGGTTGAGAGAGTAGATGCAATGATAGATAGGCTCACAGGTATTTATTTTATTATGCTTTTTAACTCAAATGTATGTTACATATTTTGTAAATACATAATATTTCATAACAAGAAGTAGAAAAAATGAATTAGGTCAGTAGATAAAGTTTTTTTCTTTCAGATTTGCAAAGATTCAATTAATTATATATCCTCTGTCCGCAAAGATGGGAGAAACTCATGCTCTAATTCACTGCTGGTGATGGAAATATAAATCGACCCAATCATTTTAGAACGCAATTTTGCCATATATAATCAAGCCTTACAAATACATTTTGGCGCAGCAATTTCATTTCTATTGTTATTATGAGGAAGTAACCAAAGCCATGTATATATAAAAAGGTACATCAATATCTTCCATAGCAGAGTTGCTGAAGACTAAAAATTGGAAATAACTTAACTGTCAGCAGTGAAGTATTGACTAAAGCAGTATGGCTATATCCATGCAATAGATTACTATATAGTGACCAAGAACTACATGGTAGAAGTAGATTTATTAGCATAAAAAGACTTACACATCATATTGTTAAATGACCAATATCAGTATTGTTAAATGACTTACATATCATATTGTTAAATGGACTGTAGAACAATGTGGTCCTATTTTGTATGATTTTTCAAATGCATAAAGGAAAAATCCTAAAAGAAATATAATAATATTTCGACAATTATATTTGAGTGAAGTGATTTTCGGTGATTTTTTTTCTTTTCTTCCTTGTGCTTATTTATATGTAACCTACAAATGTACTTTAGATTGCACAGGTTTGTTTTCCTGAATAAGTTAAACATTTGCGCTAAATCTACTAGATTTTTCCTATTTCCTCCCGTTCCTTGTGATTCATAATGAAAGAGTTGTCTCTCTCTCTCTCTCAGCTTTTGGACAAACCATTTGCTCTTTGGGCAAAAACAAATAATTATTGACTTCCCACTGTAGGTCCAGCATCTGTCTAGGTACAAAGATCAAAAAATTGTATTTTCTGCTTTATGGATCTTCTTTCCATGTGGACAGAAACAAAAAATAATTAATAAAACAAAGCAGTCATTCAAATGGGGACATTCAACAAAGCATATGATAGAGAATGATTGGAGTAGAAAGGCAAGAGGGAACTTCTTTAGATAGGAAGTTTCTTGGGGTTGATATTCACAAATTCATGAACTCCTCTCTCAAACCCTTTTGTTCAGTCTGCCTACCCTACCACACCCCTTCCTTTCTTGCAGTGATTTTTTTGCCTCAGAGATGGATCGCCCCTTCCTACAATTAAGTTGTATATTTCTTTTTTTTTAAGATTTATTTATTCTTACTTTAGAGAGAGAGAGCACGCATGCACTCGTGGGGGGAGGGGCAGAGGGAGATAATCTCAAGCAGACACCATACTGCATGCAGAGCCCAACACCTGGCTCAATCCCAGGACCCATGAGATCATGACCTGAGTCAAAATTACAAATGGAACACTTAACCGACTGAGCCACTCAGGCACCCCAGGTTATATACTTCTAACACAATTTTCTACAGTTCCTAGGACAGGATTTAGAACACAGTAAGTATTCAATACCTTCTTTGATTAATTGAATTTCTATTTATGTAACTTTTTATAACCTACTCAGCTTGGTAACATCTTCCAGCACATTAAAAAGCACCATAGATAACGAAAACAAGCTTCTTAGAACTAATGCATAGCTCATAAGAAGGTAATTTGAATATAAAAGAAAGTGTAGAAAGTAAACTGAATTGTGGCATTTTGAAGTCTCTATATTCAAGGAATTTTATCATTTAAAATATTTTAGTTCTGGGATGCCTGAGTGGCTCAGGCGGTTAAGCATCTGCCTTTGGCTCAGGTCATGATCTCAGAATCCTGGGATCAAGTCCCGCGTCACGCTCCCTCTCTCTCTCTCTCTCTCTCTCAAATAAATAAATAAATAAATAAATAAATAAATAAATAAAATACTTCAGTCCTGTTAGGAAAAGTGTATGTTCTTGATCAAGATCTGATGAATGGACTTAGAAAGGAAAGGAAATAGTTTGTAGACAGCATGGAAGAAGGTCATCAAAACTGAGAAGTGGTTTTAATGTTTTATTTCATTTTATTGAACAGGCACTTACATAACACTATAGATCAAGAATTGTTTAAGTACCTACAAATATTAACTTGGTCAATCCTTATAATCTTATGAGGAAGGTAACTTTACCATATCAATTAAGTCAAAAACAAATATCAGAAATTTCAGATGGTTCTGTCATCTGGGTGCCTGGGTGGCTCAGTTGGTTAAGCGACTGCCTTCGGCTCAGGTCATGATCCTGGAGTCCCGGGATCGAGTCCCACATCGGGCTCCCTGCTCAGCAGGGAGTCTGCTTCTCCCTCTGACCCTCTTCCCTCTCGTGCTATCTCTCATTCTCTCTCTCTCAAATAAATAAATAAAATCTTTAAAAAAAAAAGAAATTTCAGATGGTTCAACTTACCTCTATTTTACAGATGACAGAATTTAGGCATAAAGAGGTTAAGCAATTTATGTGTTAGTAAAATGCAAAGCTAAGTTTTTACGTCAGGCGGTCTGGCTCAAGAGTGTGTACTTGTAACCATGGCACTATAAAAGGAAAGAGTTTACCTAACTCTGAGGTATCATTGCTGATTTCAATATAATTAGGGCAAGAATTAGCACTACCTAGGACAGAATTATTAAGTAGGTCATGGTCTTTGTCCATTACCTGGCCCCCATTATTTAAATCCCGTGACAGTACAGGAATACAGCTTTTGAAAGAACTGGAGTAATTATAAGGCTTAATTCATGCATTAGTTGAAAAGTTTAAGAAGCTATAACCCAGTGATCCAATTTCAGGTTGATGTTGTGATAAAACACACACATGCACACACAAAGAAAATTTAGAATAACTTTAGCTCTTTGCTTTTTTACTAAAGGGCAATATATATTGAAAGGTAAGAGATAGACAACAATATCTTTTTAAAATGCTCTTTTTGTCTTTTATCTATTTTCTTCACACACTTTGGCTACTCCCACACATCTCACTGTAGAACCTCTAAAGAAAAAAAACACCTATCTCTAATATTTTTAATATTTCCAAAGCACTTTTCTTCAGGTTCTGCATTACAAACCCCAAAAATAAATCTGACAAGTGAGGATTTTCCTCGGAACACAGAGTAGGAAAAGAGATAGAAAGTCCTGTCCAAAATCCTCCTTATCAAGGAGAGGTGAGAAAATGTGGAAACAATTATATATTAATACTTCTTATTCCATCACATTACATAAGAAAGAACCCCATATCCTCCTTGATTATGGGCAGAAAACTCATTAAGAAAATCCTGTAATTAATAATTAAACTAGTAAGTAGAGCATCCCTGTGCTGTGTTTCATTGGATTCATGTCTGCAGCACAGTCAGGGAATGTTAGAGATGCTTGTCTTTCTTGATTCAAAATCACTTAAAATAGCTTCCTGGAGCTCAACACCTGACTGAATATCGTCCTCATTGCCACTTTCATCTCTTTATTCCTAAAAGTGTAGATGGCAGGGTTCAGAAATGGGGTAATAATTACATCAAAAATGGCAAGGAACTTATCCACTGGCACTGTGGGAAATGGCCATGAGTACACAAAAATACATGGACCAAAAAATAAGACCACAACTGTGATGTGAGCTGACAGAGTAGAGAGAGCCTTGGACAAGCCACCTGAAGAACGTTGCCAAACAATGACCAAGATGAAGATATAGGAAATAACCAAAATGAAAAAAGTTCCCAGAGAGATGAAACCACTATTGGCAGTGACCATGAGCTCCAATCTGTAAGTGTCTGTGCAGGCAAGACTAATAAATCGAGGAAGATCACAGTAAAAGCTGTCCACTTCATTGGGGCCACAAAATGGCAGGTTTACAACAAATACAAGTTGGATCAATGAGTGGATGATTCCAATGGTCCAAGCTACCACCAAGAGTAAAATACAAGTTCTGAAGTTCATGATAGTCAGGTAGTGGAGAGGCCTGCATATAGCAACATAACGGTCAAGGGCCATGGCAATGAGCAGAACCATCTCAGTTCCTCCAATAACATGAATGAAAAACATCTGAGCAATGCAGCCTTGGAAAGAGATTACTTTTCTCTCCTTGAAAAGATCAGAAATCATCTTGGGAGCTGCAATGGAGGAAACCCACATGTCAATAAAGGAGAGGTTGGCCAGCAGGAAGTACATGGGGGAGTGTAAATGGGAGTCAGAGATCACTGTGAGCACAATGAGGAGGTTTCCTAAAATACCCGTTATATAGAACACAGAGAAAACTAGAAATAGAACAAGCTGCATCTCCAAAGAACTGGTGAGTCCCACCAACACAATCTCAGACACCACCGAATTATTTCCTCCCCCCATGGTTTCAGTCACTTTGGGCTCCAAATTTGCCTGAAAGAACAGGAAAAAAATAACAAATTGGGATTACTGGCCATATCCATCAAGGTTCCATGAGAGAAGCAGACCACTAGGAGATAATATACTAAGGTATTTCTTAGTGATTTGACCTTGCATAATCATGGAAGCTGATTCAGCAGTTTCTGTTAAGTCTATTGTCTTTGCATCTGATGCCGTAGCTTGATGTCCACAGGACAGGCCCCCAGGAAGGAAAGATGGATGTAAATTGAAGGAAAACAAAAATAAACTGGAACACACGAGTAAAAGCTAAAGTCCTCAGGGACAGACGAAAATTAGTGTCAGTGTTCATTGCCTCTAACCTCAATGGTATAGATATACTGCAGAAGCCAGGGCCCTCCACCACAGAACTGAACACACAGTGGGCCCACAAGTCAGAGAAGCTCAAGAAGTATCCCAAAGAGGGTGTGGCAGTTGCGGTCCTGGCCACTGCCTCACCCCAATGAGATAAGCCAGCAGAGAAATGACAACGTGTATGAGCTATAAATATGGCTGCTGTTTCACTTCAACCTAGAAATATTGCAAAAGAATCTCCTTTACAATGTATTCTAGTTGGAAACATAGAGAAAAAGGAATTCTAGAGCACGTAGTTCAATCTAGGCAAGCTGACACAATACAAAGCTGACACCATACTGTCTATTTAAAAGAATATAGGGGTGCCTGAGTGGCTCAGTCAGTTAAGTGTCGGACTCTTGTTTTCAGTTCAGCTCATTATCTCAGGGGCATGAGATCAAGCCCTGTGTCTGGCTGGGCACTCATCAGGGAGTCTGCTTCTCCTCTCCCTCTGCTCCTCCCCCTGCTCACACACGCTCTCTCTCTCTCAAATAAATTAATCTTTAAAAAATAGATTTCTAAGAGAATGTAAAAATTTTGAAACTTACCACCTCTATTCATTTGGTCAAACCAAATTTAAGTGGCACTTAAGTAGACTTGACAAAGGCTCTAAATCTATTAGTCCTAATCTCACTTCATCTCCCACCAACTTCCCTTGTTATTACTGACTCTGTTTAAAATTTCACCATGGGTTCTCCTCTGATGTCAGAAAGCCACTTCAAGAGAGAAATGGAAAAGAATTTAAATAGAGTTTTGTAGTGAAAGGAAAACAAAGGTACTAAGTATTATACGGCAATAAATTGTTGCTTCTACTAGCCCACAGGGACTTCAAAATGCCTAAAAACACAAAAAGGAAAAAACTGGCAGAACTACAAAAGAAATAGGGACATTCTGTATACTTGTGGAAATAGTGGAAGAGTGAAACACACTTCCTTCAGTGAACAATAGGACAAACCAACAAAATATCAGTCGGCATAATGAAGGTTTAAAAACATGATTAATCAGGGGCGCCTGGGTGGCTCAGTTGGTTAAGCGACTGCCTTCGGCTCAGGTCATGATCCTGGAGTCCCTGGATCGAGTCCTGCATCGGGCTCCCTGCTCAGCGGAGAGTCTGCTTCTCCCTCTGACCCTCTTCCCTCTCGTGCTCTCTCTCTAGCTCATTCTCTCTCTCAAATAAATAAATAAAATCTTTAAAAAAAATAAATAAAATAAATAAAAACATGATTAGTCAAATTGAATTATATAGTTCGCTGTCCCCAATATATGCAGAATACTCAAGTATTTATAGAGCATTAAAAAAACTTTACCATATGCTGTATTATAGAGCAAATCTTAACAAATTTCAAAAGGTTGCTACCATGCAAACCATATTCCAGCCCCAGAGCAATTAAGGTATAACAACTAACCAAAATGTAACTATAAAATCTTCATATGTTTGGAAATTAGGTAACACACTTTTAAATAACTCTTGGGTCAAAGATGAAATCCCAATGGAAATAAGAAAACATTTTAAACTGAGTTATAAAATATTTTATACCAAATCCAGTAAGATGAAGCAAAAGCTGTATTTAGAGGAAAATATATAGTCTAACTGCTTATATTAGAGAAAGAAAAAAAGCTTAAAATTAATCTAAAACTTAATGAGCTAAGTATCCATCTTTAAAAGTAGTAAACACAACCGCAAAACAAAAACATTTTCTATTAATGAAAGAGAAACCAAAAATAAACTACAGAGAATCTACAAAAACAAAGGCTGTTCTTTGAAAAGACAAGTAAAATTGATAAGCCTTTGATGAAATGAATCAAGCAAAAAAAAAAGAGAGATGGCACATAGAACTAATATCAAAAACAAAAGAGGAATATAAATAGAGATGTTACAGACATTGAAAGCATAATAAGAGACTATAATAAACAACTTTATGCCAACATATTCTAAAATTTTGATAACATCAGCAAATATCTAGTAAAATAACTTACCAAAATTCACTGTGCTGGACACTGTAGAGCCACTGTCCTTCTCTACCCTGCTCCACACCTCTGGGGAGGGCCTTTAAGGACTGCATAAACTGGGCTCCCGGGCTCTCACTGTTGGCTACTTTTGATCAATGAGAGGCACTAACAAGAAACAAGAGGCCAGGGAGAGTGAAAGATAAGAATATCAGTCACGGGACGCCTGGGTGGCTCAGTCGTTAAGCGTCTGCCTTCGGCTCAGGTCATGATCCCAGGGTCCTGGGATCGAGCCCCGCATCGGGCTCCCTGCTCGTTGGGAAGCCTGCTTCTCCCTCTCCCACTCCCCCTGCTTGTGTTCCCTCTCTCGCTGTGTTTCTCTCTGTCAAGTAAATAAATAAAATCTTAAAAAAAAAAAAAAGAATATCAATCGCCTGACAGTCCCCTCCAGGCCCCAGGCTGGCAATGTCTGCATTTCTTTTTAACAGGGCAGCCCTCTCCTACATCTGTAACTTCCTTTACAGATCCCAGCAACCACCCTGGGATGCTTCACCATGCCTTACTGGTTTCCCTTAATCCCATCCTCATCTTTCAAATAGTCTACTTATTGTGAATCTTCCCTCTATTACTCTACTTAAGTGTGCTGTTTTCTGTGGGGACCACAATTAATAAGATAGGAAACCTAAATAATCCTATAACTGCATTAAAGAGATTAAAAAATTTAAGTTGAATTTTAAAAATCTTCCAGCAAACACAATTCCGGTTTTTATGGCAAAATCTACCAAAAATTCAAGGAACCAATAACTATAATTCTACTGAAATTGCAAAGAAAGAGAGAAAATTTTCTTACCTACCTTATTTTATGAGACTAACATAATGTCCATACTAAAATTTGACCAGAGCAGTATGAGAAAAAAAAAATTTCAGGGCAGTATCACCCCCGGATTTGTTTTTTTTAAGATTGATTTATTTATTTGAGAGAAAGCACACTCCCGAGTGGGGGTGGGAGGCAGAAGCAGACAGAGAGGAAGAGAGAATCCCAAGCAGACTCCCCACTGAGAGTGGAGCCCTACTGGGGCTCGATCCCACAGCCCCAAGATCACAACCTGAGCCGAAATCAAGAGTAAGACACTTAACCGAAGGAGACACCCACACGCCCCCATCACCCATGGATTTAGATGCAAAATTAATAAAAATAATTTTGCTAAAAGGAGGAAAAGTGGGGCAGTATAGCAGTCTGGGTTTCCCAAAAGCAAGCACTGAGGTGGAGGTTAGTGTACAAGATGATCATGAGAGATTAACACCTAAAGGAGAAGTCAGAGGAGGCAGGATTGGGCAAAAGACAAAGTCTAACTGCGATGCAGAGCCAACAAATCCCCACCTTGCTGAGCCCTGTAGGGAGTTTTGCTCCATGAGAGTGCCCCATGTGGGCTGGAAATAGCTCGGCATTTATACTTCCCTTCACTCAGTCATCCAGCACATATGGGCTGCTCTGGTCAGGGTGTGACCTCAAGGCTATCTGCTGATGGCACTCCCCATGGCTGGGCAGCAAATCCCTCCTTGAAGGAAAACCCAGGTGGCAGGGAGGGCAGGAGATGAAGGATTCTAGTCTAGACATGTAAAGTGTTAAGTGAAAGGTGGACATCCAGTAGTATTCATCTTTAAACAATGCACATATTTTTTTGCTTTTGCCTACTTTGCATACATAAATAACAGAATAATAGGAAAGGAAAAAGCAAGGGATTTTTTTAAAGATTTTATTTGTCAGAGAGAGAAAGAGAGAGAGCACATGCAGGGGGAGAGGCAGGCAGAGGGAGAAGCAGACTTCCCACTGAGCAGGGAATCCAATGGGGAACTTCATCCCAGGACCCCAGGATCATGACCTGAGCCAAAGGCAGACACTTAACTGATGGAGCCATCCAGGCATCCCAAAGCAAGGGATTGTTAACACAAAAACCACATGGAGGTTAACTGTAGAAAGGAAGGAGAGGAACAAAAACAGAGAAACACAGGAGCTTTATAAGGCACTAGAAAAACTCTTTTAACCTGAGTAATGAGTGCACAGGGATTCACATTACTTTTAATATACCTATGTTTATACACTCCTCTGTATGTAGAATATTTCACAATTTTTAAAAAAATAACAGAAAAAGAAGATGGATAGGGATATTCCAGACGGGGGGAACAGCATGTGCAAAGGTACAGCGGTGAGAGTGAGCAGCAGTTTTGGGTGGAGAACAATGACTTTTATGGCTTCTATGCAAGGTTGTGTAGGAGGAACATAGGAGATAAAAGGTAAAGATAAGTAGAAAACAGATTGCAGAGGCCCTAGAAAGCCAGACTATGGGGAATGAAATACTCCATAATGGAGATTTAAGTTGAAGAACTTGATACCTGTAAAGTAGTGTTTGTTTTTTTAAAGAAGCTAAGGCTAGAGAGGTGACTTAGAAATCATCTGCATAGATGTGATCACTGAAGCCACAAGAAATATATGTATCTAGAGGAAAAGTCAAATATGCTATGAGAAAAGCCCAAGATTTAAATCTGGGAAAAAGGGACACCTGGGTGGCTCAGTTGTTAAGCGTCTGCCTTCACCTCAGGTCATGATCCCAGGGTCCTGGGATCGAGCCCCACATCGGGCTCCCTGCTCCATGGGAAGCCTGCTT